GCCAGGGCACTAGTGTGTCCCTCTTTGGAGCCTTGCCAGGCCATTGCTGATGTGAGTGCGAGAATCTGCTGTCATGGTCATTTTTTTTTCCTGGTCGCTGTGAATTTACCTGTGGACTGTGTGAATGTTGTGGTTGGCCGTAATAGAAGGACAGCTCTGCACAGAGCTAGGCAGAGTTCAGATGGGTCCCATTGAGCCTCTGCATGCACATTCCCCCTGCCACTCTAGCCCTGTCCCGTCCACCCCACCGTGCTGACAGTGCAGCTGCAGCACTCCTCTCATTTCATCCCCAAAACACTACCCTAGCGCACTGCAATCCTCGTTAGTCCAACCCTGGACCCCAGAGCAGCCCTGCCCTGACCTGCCACCGACCCAAGCTCTGCCAATACACAGACTTGTATCGCATAAGAGCAGCCATACAGGGTCAGACCAGAGATTCATCCAGCACTCTGTCCTGTCTGCCGACAGTGGCCAATGCCATATGCCCCAGAGGGAAAGAACAGAACAGGGAATCATCAAGTGATCCATCCCCTCTCACCCATTCCCAGCTTCTGATAGAGACTAGGGACATCATTCCTGCCCATCTTGGACCTATCCTTTATGAATTCATCTAACTTTTTTTTAAACCCTGTTAAAGTCCTGGCCTTCACAACATCCTCTGGCAAGGAGTTCCACAAGTTGACTGCATTGTGTACTACCATCACCCCTTTGCTATTCTAGGCCTCTCCACCATTTTATTTCTGTCCACTCACTTACGCCATTCCTATTCTTCCAAACCTGGGACCCTCACCTCTCCCTTGCCGCTGTCTGCTCTTCAAATCCTGTCTCCCTCACCCCCAGCTCTACTAATTCACTCCAACTCTGACCAGCTTTTGCTCCTCTAGTTATCCCCCCAGAGTATTCATATACCCAGCACTGATCAAGTATCGTGGTCCAGGGCTTTCTTCTAGTTCCCGACTGTTCCTAAGGCCAATTTTTACGGTGTTGCCAACTCTCGGGATTTTATTACAAGCCTTGCAATATTTGGGGTTTTTTTTCTTAAAAATCCAAACTCCTGGAGTCATGTTACCACGTAAGAACCTCAACTTTCATCTGAAGCAAAAGTAAGTTTCCAGCCCTCATGATTGGAGAGAAAAGCTTCAACAAAGGAATCGTAAAGGCTGGAAGCCCAGAAGGGAAATAAAAAAACCCCAAACTGTATTATTTTTGAGCCATGTTCCTGATTTCTGAAGGCCAGGCTGGTGAGTTTCAGGGCTGGCAATGCTGCCATCTGAGCGAGTGGCGTTTCAGTCACATCTATTATGTGTGCCACTGAGACCACTAAAACCATTACCTCAGAGATCCTGAAACAGCTTTAAGCCATGGCTCCCAGTCTGGTGCACTGAGCAACTGCACCTGAGAACAAAGTGAACAATAAACTCATCTCCTCCTCCGTCGCTCAGCAGCAACAGAGCTGAAAACTGCTCCCAGGTAACGAGCATGTGTCATTTCCCTCGCTGGCTGCACTTTTGGTCCTCGGAGGGCTGTGCAGCTGTGTGAATCTGCACTGTTTCATAATTAAGACTGCTAAATGCTAGACGGAAGTATCATCCTCTCGATGAGCTATGCGCAAAGCCATTTAAAAATCACTCTGGACAGCCCCAATTTGCAGCCACTTACATATATTTGCTGGCTGTGTGTCTTGCCGATCTGGCATGAAAACCTTCAGGAAATCTCATCTAACAGGTGGCTGAGGCCTGGAGGTAGGAGACTCAAACCCCTACCCTGAATGCTTGATCCTGTACCATGTAAGTTGGGAATGCTCCACACACTGTCCTGAACAGAGGAGTGGGGGAACCTGGAGCATTAAGTAGGAGCATGGAGCTTCTGCTTACACGTCCCTGGGTGCACTGCGAACACCTTGATCTAATAACCCCCCCCCCCAATAGCTCATGCCAAGCGGGGCTGCATCGTAATGAAAATAACTAATGACACAATAAGAGCTACTGATGAAAAGGCTCTGAAGGGAAGTGACCCAACAGGCGAACGGAAATGAGTCTGTAGCGCTTTCCTCTCCTCCCCTGCACAGCTGGCTTCTGGGAAGGGAACAGGGGCTGTCTCCTGGGCAGCGGCTGAAGGCCCGGCGGGGGAAGACAGACAAGCCCCCGCACCGCTCCTTCCCCCTGCTCACCAGCCAGGGGTGAGAGGCCTGCTCAGAATGCAAGTACATCCCCCTCACTCCCTGACAGTCCGGGGAACGGGATGAAAAGCTGCGGCCTGGCATGCACCAGGGCTGCCCCCTCCGCCCTTCGAAACTCTGCCCTGGCCTGTTTCTGACAGTCAGCCACAAGGCCATCCCTGCCTCACACCTGAGTGTGCCGCTGAAGAGGTTCGCGCTATCTAGCTAAGCATTTGTAGCACACCCATGACTGGCCTCTTGGTGCCAGGTTAGATTTCAGGGCAATGGACGAGGGATGTAAAAGCCCGTTTAATTAATTAATTGGTTAAACGATTAAATGGGGGCGGGCGGGGAGGCCGCTCAAGCCCGGCTGGAGAGTCTCACCCCTTTCTGCCATGGGCAGGAGCCTGCCTGCAGCACATGGGGCCAGGCCCGCCACGGACAGGGGCTGCTCTAACCAGGCTGGAGCGCTGCTCCCACCCGCGGCAGGCCCCACTGAGCTCCCTGCCCACAGCACGAGGGGGCTGCTCCAGCCCCCGCTGGTTAACCATAGCCAGTAAGCATCACCCAATAAAGGTGATGCTTACTGGTTAACCATTCACATCCCTACAATAGACACCTCAGAAATACCTCAGACAGAAAGAATTAAAATTTGTACCTATTGGCATCCACCTGATACGGATGCTGCTTAAAATCCAGGCCCCTCAGGGTCCAGTCCTGCAAGGTGCTTGAGTCTTTAATTTTGGGTTTTGAAGATGCACATTTAGGCCCTGTGCACTGCTAGATCTCTCTTTAGAGTAGATGAAAAACTCTATGAAGCAGAATCCCATTAGGCACCAACATTACCTCTAATTTTTTCATGCATGTGCAGGATAAATGTTATGTGCACCAAAACATGTGCAGATGTGCACCGCCAATCAAGGCACATGATGCCAGCTGTGGGTGCTCTGCTAATTAATGGGGTGGCATTTGAAACTCTCATAGGTGGCCACCTATAGCGAACACTGCCTAGCATCCAGGAGTCACAAGTGGCACAGCAAGTTGAGAAATAGGGCGCTGGGACTGAAAATATTAGACTGGATATGAGGTGTCCATTTTTAATGGTGACAGTAAATAACCCCTGGGTTGTGTTGGAGTCTCCATCAACAGTGTTCCCTGTAAATTGTGTGTTTATGCTACTGCTCAGGAGAGATTCCAATGCAACCCAGCTGATTAGCAGAGCACCCTAGGCAGGTTTTGTGTTTCTACTGGTGGTGCTTATTCCCACATGCCTGGTGCACATAAAAATTATTCTGCAGCTGGATGGAAAAGGTTAGAGGGAACATTGCCCCTCGCTGACAATTTTTCCACCCAATTGGAGGTTTTTCTAAACACTCCGCTCTAGGAATTCCTTTTGGGGGCAGATATCTGGCTGGGTTACACAGGCGGTCAGACGGGATGATCATAGTAGCCCCTTCTGGCCTTGGGATCTGTGCATTTTCTCTCTCCAAATCAGCCTGTGGGCATAAGGTTGTAGAGATGGAGCCGAAGCCTGTCTCTGTAACACCCCTGCAATCCCCAAAGGGGTTCATCTGGCGGTAACTCAAGAGCAGAAAGCTGTCCTGTAACGAAACACCCAGCCAAATAAGACCATGACTGTGCAGCACGCCAGAGGATGAGTTCATTCGATCAAAACGTCTACAAAGGGAGGGACGAGTTACGAGTTAAAAATAGGCACTGAGACAAACCCTAGGAGGAGAAGATATTGAGCACATGATATTCTCTTTATAAGCTAAAAGATTCTCACCCAGAGACTACAGGGATTAAGCAGGTGCCCCTAGTCTGACATCAGCTGAGAGGCTTCTGTGTGAGCTACGAGAAGCGGCTGGTTATGGTACATAAGGTTTCTTGGATAATACATTGGCCTGGGCATGCTTCTGCAGACAAGCTGCAGTCACTGAAAGGGGGAGAGAGGAAGACAAGCACATTCCTTCCCACCCAGTCTTTTTACTTTTCCTCTGACGCCCTCAGCGTGACGGCAGGACTCATGCATTTTCCCTTCTGGCTCCCACCCACTCACAGACACCATCCCAAAGTTCAGCTGTATTGACTCAAGCCTGGCTGATAGGAAAAGAAACAGGATCGCGCTCCTCCTGGCTACGTCGTTGCCTGGGAAGCACCGGGCCTGAAATCATCCCAAAGGGACGACTGGCAGCTACGCCTCACGAAGGGGCTTTCCAAAAACAGCAACACCAAGGGCAGCTGCCAGGGAGACCAGAAACTAATGGGTGTGGGTGGGTGTGTGTGTGTGTGTGAGAGAGAGAGAGAGAGCGTAAGTCATGGTGCAACAGGGTCAGACAGAATACATGCAGGGATGGTGCAAGCCGGGTACTTCTCTGCAGGACACTATACACAATCCCATCAATTTATACTCTTCATGCTATAGGCTCTTGGGCCCAGTGTTCTCTTTAGAGCAGACTATTAATCCCCTAGTTCACCTTCTGTACATGACATAACCTCCACATCAAAGACAGGGCCTAGCAAGGATTCAAGCGGATGCTACAGGGTTTAATTCTGTGCAGGCAACTGCAGCCCTTATGCAATCTCTTATTTCCTCACATTAACGCCCAAAACAATGAAAGTCCCATTGGCAACCTGCCCGGAGCCTGAGGAACACGTCCAATTTGCTTGAAAATGAAGCAGACGGCAGCTCCCGCATCTTTAACACAGAGGTGCTACCCCTGGAGATCAAAGGTAGCCACGTGCAGTGCCATAAACACCATTGCAGCCAGGCCTGGTAGCATGCGGCAGGCCTCGTGTTATCTCCCACGGTGGGAGTCGTCTCTCCGCGGTTCCACCTTACCTTGTCGGCGAGGCACTCTGACTCCTCCGAGAGGAAGTACACAGCCCCACTTTCGGCCAGCAAAATGGCAGTGTCCGTGGCAGAGGAAGATCTGGGCCGTCCCTGGTGCTGATGCAATATGGCAGTGAGGCTACTATCCTGGGGAGCCTTACGGCCCAGATGGGGGCTGCCTTTCTGTGGGTCAAGGGAGCTGCTTTTGGACCGGCGGCTGCCGCTGTGCAGGCTGCTCCCTCTCTTGATGGACGGGCGGGAGCGGATCTGCTGCAGCACCCTGTTGAAGGCGGTGGGGCGTGCGGGGAGGTCGTGGAGGGACATGGCGTAGGAGACACGGTGCATCTCGGGCGAACGTTCCTTCTCGTCAGGGGAGTCGTGGTCAGACATCCCGTAGTGCTGGGACAGAGAGTCCTGGGAGTTCTGGTGCTCCCGCTCCCGCGACCGCCGGCGACTGTGGAAAAGGTGCTTTAGGCCATGGCCAAACATGGAGCCTTCTGAGAGCTGCTGTATTTTCTATGACAGAGGAGAGAAAACAAAGCACACGGACCACTGTTACTATACCCTGCTGCATCGTACAGCCCTGCTCCTCCTTGGTCCGTATACAGCAGCGAGATAGAATGGAGATGAAAAATACCCTTTAATGATACGACAGCCATGGGGCCAAATTATCTATTGGCGTAAAGCGACGCAGCGGCAGTGAAATCAACGACGTAACACTGGGATCCTGGAAAAGAAGCCACTGCCTTCCTGCCGGGCTGGCGGGCTCTGAGAAGGCAAGGACTGCCCTGTCCCTGAGCATCTCAGCACGTGCTTTAGAAAGAACTCACGCTGCTGAGAACTGCTCCTTACAGCACGCCAGCACGGCAACTTGAAGGAAGGCCGAGGGGGGCAGCTGCGACAGGGCTGGGTTCTTCCCATGCAGTATTTTCTTTCCCCTCTCCCAGGGTATGTCTACACTACCCCACTAGTTCGAACTAGGGGGGTAATGTAGGCATACCGCACTTGCAAATGAAGCCTGGGATTTGAATTTCCCGGGCTTCATTTGCATAAGCCGGCCGGCGCCATTTTTAAATGCCGGCTTGTTCGAACCCCGTGCCGCGTGGCTACACGCAGCACGGGCTAGATAGTTCGAACTAACAAGCCATTCCGAACTATCTGTACCCCTCCCCATTCCCATTCTGGGCTGCCAAACCAACCAGATCCTACTGTTACTGCCTTTCCCGTCATGCATGTCCCCTGCGTGCCCTGAACCCCTCCTTCTTCGAGGGGAACGTGACCGTTGCCTCCCTCATTTGCACTATGAAAAATT